TGCACAAGTCATTTCCACTCTTAGAGCCTCATGAGTTTCACAAGAACACTAACTGAAGTCCAACAGAGAGAGGGCTTCGTTTGGGCCCTGATCCATTTTCCCCCCAGATGTCATCAAGTCACCTTGGGACCAGTGCCAAACTGTTCCACGAGGAACAGTTTCTCCATACCTTGCTGGTGGCATCAGGCTGTCCCTCACTGTCTGTCGACATTCTCTGCTGTGGCTTGCTTGGCTTGGCTCTATCATGTTTTCCTGGCCAGAATCTTTAAAGCAGATCGTCAGGCCTGTTCTTCTGTGCTGCTGCCGGATGGGTCCCAACCATCAGCCTTTCCCCTCCCAGCCAAGCACACACCGTCTGCACCACCCAGTGACCTCCAACACTCCACAGGGTTCTCACTGGCTGACCCTGAAAGAGGAGATAACCAGGGCTTTCTTCCAAAGTGCCTCTGTGAGGACTTGAATTTCCAACCTCTTGATTAGCAACTGAGCATGTTAACTGCACCTCCCAGGGCCTCAGCTGGCAGTTTTGGAGTGTCTACTCCAGATATCAGGGTCCTAGGGAGGAGGGCGAGGGCACAAATGTAAATTTTTAAGCACTGGACTATAAATAGAAAAAGGTTATAGGTTCAAACACACCCAAGAGCATATCAAAAGAAAGACCTGCTTGTACAAAAATCAATAAATGGAAATCTAACTTCTCTGTAAACATTCGTTAAAATCACAATTAAAAAAAAGAACCAAGGAATCAATCATAAAATAAAAAATAAAAAAATAAAAAAAGTAAGGCCTGCTAACGTTTTCAAAAGTTCTCAGCCTGGAAATAACCTACGAAGCAGGGTGTCTCCTGAGTCAGGATCCACTCACAGACTGTGGGTCCTACTCAAGCAGCCCCTGGGAACAAGACGCACATGGGTGCCCCTCCCCTTCTACCCATCTCTAATAGGAGATGTGAGTTAAGTTCACAAGTCAGTTTTAAATATTCTATGAAATGGTGCAAAGTTTTGTGTCTGATTCAAAAAGGCAGAGTGGACTGGAAACCTAGAGACAGGAAGGAGGGGTGGGATCCCAAGTAAGCTCCCCACCCTCCCCCCAGTTTGTCTGATTTGATCTGGCATGTATTCGGCTGAGACACTGCAGAATAACAGAATTAATAACACTAACAAAAATGCTGTGGGCCCCGGCCTATGGGCAGAGGCTCCTGGGAATTGTTTCCCACCCTTGGGGACCTGTGAGGAAGAACTGTGCTCTCAAAGGTTTTCAGTGGCTGATTTTTCAGAAACAGACTGCCAGGCCTTTCTTCTGTGGTGCCTCTGGGTAGACTCAAACCACCAATCTTTAGTGCTGTTTGTGCTGCTCAACTCTAAGAACCTCAACTCAAAGCCCACAGATGAGCCTCCAGCTGTAAATGGCTCTGAAGGAAATAACCATCTTTATCCCACAGAGCAGCTTGAGGATTGGAACCGCCAGCCTTTGAGTCTGCAGCGCAACTCCCTACTTACTGCCCAAGCCACCAGGCTTTTCTGCTCACCAGTAAAGTAGGGTAATAATGGCTCTGAGCCACCGCTCGGGAGAGGGTGGACCGTAACCTCCCCCGCCTGGGACCTGCCTGGCCAGCCTTGCGGGGGCGGACACCGCAGGACACACACCGGTCACAGCCAAGCGGATGTCGGGCCACCAGAAGAGACAGCCGCCCCTCCACGCCCTCCGCGGGCGGATTCCCTTGCGGCCTCCCGCGCGGAGCGGCGGGGACCCGGATGATTGCAAACAGCCGCCGGCCTCATTAGGAGACGTGTAATTAGCGGCTGGCTGCGCCCGAGCCGCGCGGGCTAATTACCGCGGGGAGCAGGCTGCGCCGCCGCCGCCGCCATCGTCTCCCCGGCGTCGGGACCCTCGCTGGGAGGGGGACCTGGTCGGAGAAGGGGAGTCCGGGGGCTGCCCCGGGGTGATCCCTCCCCGAGTCGTGCAGGTCGGGGGCGGAGGAGATCATTCATGCGCAACCACGCTCGCAGTGCACTCGCGGGGCAACCCCGCGCTTTGCACTCGGTTGTCTCGTTTAAATGTCATAGCTACCCACGAGGGTGAAACCATAATCTGTTGCGCAGAAGAGGAAAACTCATGAATTAACCTGCCCATCACAGGGCTTGAGTGACGGAGGGGGATTCGAGCCCACGGGTGTAATCTCTCCATTTGATCACACCAACACGGATGGCCGCGGTTCGAATCCACTGCTCTGCAGGAGAAGGAATGGGCGGTCTCCTCCAGGGCGATTTACTGCCTCTGAAAACTCGCTGCATGGTAAGCAGCTATGGGTCAGTTTCGACCCCACCGCACAACAGTAAGAAGCCGCACACTGAAGTGAGCATACGGCAAAATGAGCAAAACAGCCACAGTAGCTATTAGCATACTCATCAAAAAGGGCTCTGGCCTCGACGGTTTGGGATTCGAATTCTGATCTTGTACCTCCAATTCTGCATTCATGAGCTGGGCGTAATGTTGAGATCAACTGAAATGGTGCTCGTTTTAGGGGCTCGGGTTGCACCTGGTGGTGGGGTGGCTTAAACGTTGAATTTCCAATTCAAAGATCCACTAATCCGCTCCACGGAACAAAAGATGAGGGTGTCTGTTCCGGCAAAAATTTGCAGCCTCAGAAATCCTTTGGGGCAGTTCTACTCCTTCCTTAGTGGGTCTGGGGTTTTTTTGTTGGGGTGGGGGGGTTGCGACGGGAAAACTGGCTGGCTTTTCTCCACACATCGTGGGCCGCTCGCGCCCTCTGCTGGGCAGAAAAGGAAGCTGGAAAGTTTTTTGGTTTTTTTTTTTTTTTGCTAAGAAGAGGTGCAGGCATTTATGTTTCTATAAAGCCACAGCCTCCCTCAGCATCACAATTGGCGTAGAGTGGGAGATGAGAATATTGAGATCTCATTTTATAGCTTGACAATAATAGGTTTGGAAACCTGCCTCGCTGGCCTTCATGGCCACAATCAAGACCACAAAGCTACAAATAACCAAGATGGGTAAGATTTAGTTACAAGGATATTATGCTTGGTAATGAGTCAGTGAAAAGAGGAAGAACTTCGATGAGATGGAGCCACACAGTAGCTGTAACGATGGGATCAAACATAGACAACTGTGAAATCGAAACAGGACAGGGTGGTATTTCATTTTGACTAGACAACATCTAACAACAACAGCTATAAGCATGTACATCAAAACGCTGTTTAATAAGAAAATGTGCAAATAATTTGACTGAACACCGTGGGGACACTAATTTAACAGAGGTCCATCCAAACTTTCAGCTCTTAAATAACAATGTAAAGGAGCAACTGCCATGAATCTAACATTAAAAAGGTGTTGGACAAATAAATTCAAAAGCATGCAAGATTAACCTATGGTAACAGAAAAAAAAAACAATAATAGTGACATCTGGGAAGAATTTTAACAGAGAGAAGAACGTCTAAGGGAACCTTCTAGAGTTCTGGCATTGTTCTTCTTTCTCTTAAATATCTTAATCCAAGTGGTAAATACACAATCTATACATATATAAAAAAGTCTGTTGCCTTGTATTGTTCAGAATACATAAGCATTTTGTGTGCTATGAAGAGAGCTCTGGTGGCCTAGGGGATAAGTAGTCGTGCTGCCTACCCAAAACCACATGGTTCTAATCCACTGGCTGCTCAAGCAAGGTGGCTACTCTCCTCCCAGGCGATTTGCAGCCTTTGAAAAGTAGGTGAAGTGTTAATTTTAAGTCCATGTGACTGTGATTTCTCTTCTTAAAATGGAAACACATATTTTAGCACGAGGCAATGAGTTCTCAGTTTCTGTCTCAGGACCTTTACACTCTTTTTTTTTCTAACACTCTTAAATTACTGAGCACACTAAAGACCTTTGTTTCTCTGGGCTCTATCTGTCGCTATTTACCACAGACACTAAAATCGAGAAATCTGCAAAATCCAATTCCAGTAGGTGTCACAGTTATGTCCTCGCATATCACGTAGCTTCTGGAAAATTTCACCGTCAACTCTGGGAGGGTGACAATGGCAAAGAACATTATAGTTTTCTTATGAAACCATCATAGTTTTATTACGGCCTCTTGGAGTCCCAGGTCTCAGAAATCTCGGCGATCCCTGGACCACACTTTGAAAACCATGGGCCAAGGGAAGAAAGAAAAGGTACTATATGATCACAGCTATTGTCTTGGTACTGGGATTATAATTTATTTTTAATGATTTATTTTTATTTACCTAATCCGTCGAGAATTATGTGCAAACCCGAAGGCGGGCTCGATTTTACCAGCGACTCTGCCTAAGAAAGATGGATAATCCTTTGTGGTTTTAAAAAGAACCTTGGTTTTTAGAGGCCCCAAATGACACGGGGGAGAGTCTCAGCTATCAGTCGGTTCCAACTAGACTGCGGTGAACTGACTTAGTTTGTAAGTGAAAAGGGGTTGTTGGTTTTGTTGCTGTTGTTAAAAAAGAAAATCAGAAAAGTAACAGATAGTTTCTGCAAATTAATTAAAACCGAGGCAATACCACCACCTTCATAATGTTACTGAAAGGTCCGAACAGTAATAGCATTTAAGGCTGCACAGAAGAATAAAACTGAGTTCTTCCTTGAAAACATACCCGAGTTTTCCTGAGTCCTTGCGCTGTGATTCATGACCCAGTCTTTATTTCAAAAGTTCCAACGTCCAACGTTGGAAAAAACAGGAAACAAGCAAACGCAATGCAAACTGGTGGGGAGCAACCCCCTCTCTGCCTGCAGGCAAAATTGAGCCCCATAAACTAAAACATTCTCAGGGGGATGCAAAAGCTCGAGTAGACACACAGGGAGCACCGGCTTGTTACAAAACTGACACCGAGCTCGGCCTCTCAACTTCCTAGCTCCGCCCTCCTAGCCCGCCTTCCTCTCTGAGTGGCTGGAAGTCTGAGGAGACCTCCCATTGGTCGAGCCCTGAAACATCGACATCCGGTTTGCGTGTCGGGCCGGCGTGCTCGGAAGTAGCTATGGTGCGGTTCAAGCACAGGTGAGTCCGCGTAACTCGGCCCCCGTAGCCCCGGGACCAGCCCGCGCTCGCCTCCCTCGCGCAGCGCTCACCTCCTTCCTGCCGCAGGTACCTGCTGTGCGAACTGGTGTCCGACGATCCCCGCTGCCGTCTGAGCCTGGAGGACCGAGTTATAGACGGCCTCGTCCGAGACACGATCGCCAGAGTGCACGGGACGTTCGGCGCGGCGGCGTGCTCCATCGGCTTTGCGGGTGCGAGGGTGCAGGGCAAGCCCGGGGGGCGCTGGGGTCGTCAGGTTTAGGGGTGGGGGCGCTTCGAGAGACCCCTGTTGCGGCCAAGCCTGATGCATACTCGGTGCGTTGTCTGCCTGTTCAGGCATCAGGACTCTCTTTAACGGAAAGGCCAGACGAGTTTAAAAGTTAGATGGAAATTCGAAACGGGGACCCAAAGGCTGTGGGAGTGTTAACAGGTATTCTCTGTACCTCTGTGACATCAGTAAATCAGAGATGTCAATTAAATTTAACAGAACGTGAAATTAAATGAGGGGAGCAGGGTATAATGCGGAGCTGTTATTTGACAAACTACGTTGGCCTAACGTGGAAAAAAACATGTGCTGTCAAAACTGCCCTAGACGAGCTCATAGAATTCATCTTACTGTCGTGGAGTCGGAACGGACTTAGCCGGCTAGAAATCTTTTTGCCCATCTTTCATTCGCGGAGTTGCTGCGGGATTCGAACTGCCAAAGAGGCTCAGCCTTTGCTTGGGCAAACAGCCCAACTCCCTACAGGCCACGCCACTTTAAAATCCGTATTTAAAGATAAAACAAAAACCCCTCCCCAAACCAAACCCATAAAACTAGTGTAATGCGTAATGCAGAGTAAGCCAGGGCAAAGAGGGGTTTAAATAAAGCCCCACCTTTTGTGGTGTATTTGAAAGGCAATGTTGGAGAATTAAGTGCACATGTCGTCTTGGTGGTAAGGAATTTTGCTGCCAACGCAAAGATAATACAGTTCCAATCCACCATCTGCTCCGAGGGAGACAGGCAAAGAAATGGGCACTCCTCTCCCGTGAGATTTACTGCCTCTGAAGACCCACTGAAGGGTCAGGGTAAATTCCAAGTCAAAGGTACACTATAGTACATCAGATTAGGCTCTCCTGGCTGCTGCAAGAGCCTACAGAGGCCAGTCAGTGGCAACCAGATAGCCCATAGGTAGAGAAAGGATGAGTGTCACCTCCCTCCCAAAATCTCTTACTATAATAGCTCAGGGAGTTAACTCACTCATTACCTTCGCCGCATCAACCGATATCTTCTTTTGAGGAGCGTTTTAAATTCCTCTGTCTGTTCTGAGCTGTGTGCAGGCTACTGGCTGCAATTTATCTCCTTTCCAGCAAGACCTGTCCTAAAGTGACTTTTCCCATCAGGCATCTTTATACCCTTATATGGTATATGGTATATACCACTGTCCAGAAGCCTAGCCCTCAGTGATCCTGAGGACGTTGTGGGCTCTTGTAAATCCATTAGCCTTTTTGTTTATTGTAGTGAGATACCTAAATGCTTATACTGGAGTGGTGCTGCTTCGATGTCGGAAGGACTTCTACCAGCTCGTGTGGTCAGCCCTACCCTTCATCACCCACTTGGAGAGCAAAGGACACCGTTACCCGTGTTTTTTCAACACCTTGCACGTGGGAGGTAGGGGGCATAATGAGTAGAGCTCCTGCTTTTCAGCAGGTAGCAGGCGGTTTGCTCCACTGGTGGGTGGGTCTCCTCCAGCCCTCTGAGAAAAGGGTATTTGCCCCTAGTTCTGCAGGTCAGAAGGAATTCTTCATGAACATTAACCACAAAACCCTTTAATGTGCCAGGCACAATCAGAACCTGTCAGAAGTTCCTGATTCAGTACAACAGGAGACAGTTGTTGATCTTACTGCAGAACTGCACCGATGAAGGTAAGCCAGGCCAGCCCAGGGTCCAGCGAGCAGGGCTGGCTTCCAGGTGAGTGCGGGCACTTGCAGTCAGCCTTTCCCCCTGTTCTACCTGCCTCTCTCTCTAGGAGAGAGGAAAGCCATCCAGAAGTCTGTCACCAGAAGCTGTTTTCTGGAGGAGGAGCCTGGTGAGGAGGAGCTCTCAGACAGTGGCAGTGAGGCAGATGCTGTGACCATGGACTGACCCAGTTCCTCAGGCTTCAGCGGGAGGCTGCACCTTCTACAGCCCTGGTCATGAAATGGAGGAAGTGACTCACTTAAAACAACTGACTTTTCTTATCCTCTCCTGGAGAAGTGATCCTGCAGCTCACAGGACAGGCATCTTTGTATCCAGGTGACTCAGTGCAAGCAGGTTTAATAAACATTTGGCTTCTGTAGCATTTTGCATACTTAAAATTACAAAAAAGGTTTATGGAACGAGTGCTTGGCCAAGTCTCTACCCTATCCCCCATCCCTTTGGTGGGATACTGGATTAAACATTTGACTTGCAGTCCCCAAGGTGGATCCTAAGCAAATCAATCACTTGGAGTCCTTTTTTGGGAAAACCTGGCCTCAAATGATCTCTTGAGTACAGTCAATTAGCAGCTGCCAACATCTCTTGGGTCTGCACTTCTGCCCCTTCCCTACTGCTTGTTCCCCACTTCCTACTCCACCTGCCCAACACCTGAGGACAATGAGAAAGCCACACTCAAGTGTCCAGGAATTAGGAGCAAGTGATTGGTGATCAGCTGAGATGCTACCTACAAATGACATGGTCTCGGGAGCTCTGGTGGCATAGTGGTTCAAGAAACTGCACTGCTGTCCTGATGGCACGCAGTTTGTGTCCACCAGCTCCTTCATGCAATTAACTGCTTCTGAAAACCCACCAGGGGAGACAGCTATGGGTCAGTTCTAATTCAGCAGTACACAACAAATGACATAGTCTGTACCTTGATCAGGAAAGCTGTTGTTACAAGCAGAGCCAGAGAACACTACATGATTGAAAAGAAAGCAGTGCATCTTTCTCCATACCTTTTCAAGCTATAGATCATTCAGGAGGTTGGGTTGGACTTTATGAAGATGAATGTAGCATCAAGTTTGGAGGAAGATTTACCTCCAACCTGCATTACACAGATTATATACAACGATGCTTCCCCAAACTGAGAATTTGAGGCATTTGCTGGTCAAGGATTGCAGTCTTCAATACAGATTGCATCTCAACGTCAAGAAAACAAAGGCTAATTGGTAGCATAATGACAGATGAAGATCGAGGTTAACACTTTCATCTTCCTCAGATCTAGCCAATACTCCTGGCATCAGCAGTCAGGAAATAAAATCTAGGTGCTTTAGGGAAGTTGGCTGTCAGGGGCCTCTCCAGAGTGCTAAAGATCAAGTGTCAGTCTAGAGACTGGGGTGTGTCTGATCCAAGTGCTGTGGTCTTCCCAGTTGCTTACTACGCATCTGAGAGTTGGACAGTGACTAAGGATGACAGAATAATCAATGTCCCTGAGTTGTGGTACTGGAGAAGAGTATTTAACATACCATGGATTGCCAGGAGAACAAACAGGTCTGTCCTGGAGAGGGTGAAATCAGGCTACTCTTCAGAGGCAAGGATTTTGAAGCTCCGCCTCATATACTTTGGACATGTGTCCAGGAGGGACCAGTCCCTGGAGAAAGACATCATGCTTGGAAGGTGGAGGGACAGTGCAAGTGAGGAAGACTCTGGATGAAATGGATTGACACAGTGACAAACAGGGGAGGCAGGTGTGTCAAGATGGTGAGATTGGCTCAGAATAGGGCAGAATTCAGAGCTACTGTTTCATAGAGTCACAGTTTATTCAAATGGCACATAACAACAGCAACAGTGACATGGAGCACTGGTGGCCCAGAGGTAAGAAGCTATGCCGCAATCTCAAAGGCACGCGGCTTGAAGCTCAGCTGCTCCACAGGAGGATGATGGGCAGTATCTGTGTGTGATTTACTGCTTCTGAAAACTTGCCAGACTTGTCAACTATGAGTCTGTTCTGACTCAAAGGCACACCACAAGGAAGCTTTGGTGGCTTAGTGGTAAGCTGCTGCACTGCGGTCCCAAAGATCACCACCTGATCTGTGGGAGGAGAAGGGCAATCTCCAGTGCTGGTTTTACTGCCTCTCAAAACCCACTGGAGGGTCCGTTAGGGTTAGTTTTGACTCCATAGCAAGACAATGACATTTCTAGGATTCTGTCATCTTTATAATCAAATGGATGTTACTCAAAGCCCTGTACACATTTAACAGAAAAATCCCTATTTTTGCTTTAGTATCCTTCCTCATCTCAGGAATGAAATAGCCTCATTCACCTAGGAGAGTCCCTGATTTAGAATTTCAGAACTTTTATGAGCCTTTAGGCCTGAATTAGGGGAGACATTAATCCAGAAAAGTAGGACCACTCAAGCTCACCTTCACATTAAGTGACATATTTACAAAGTAACATCTAACTGAACTATAATGAACTTAAAATAAAACCAAAAAAGCTCATATTGATTGTGCAGGTGTTTTATTACAACTATTTACCTTCACATTCTAGTACATCTAGAGATCACTTTTATTAAGCAGCAAAAGAATCCACATCATTCAAATTCAGCTGGAAACGAGAAAGAATGCTGTAACAGAGGTGGTGGGCCAGCCTGCCGCACCAGAGCCTGCCCTCCTCTGCCTCCAGATGCAACAGATTTCTACAGCTCGGGCCACTGTCACCTGAATCGAGTCTCATCTCCAGGTGGCCTCCTTTAGTCTGAGAAAGTTGGTAGCTTTCCTTCCTGACTACCAAAGAGGCCACGTTCAAGAGGTGAGAACTCCATACTCCTCAGGTGCCAAAGATGACCTATTCCTTGGAGCTGGCAAGTGAGTCTGGCACCACAGTCTGGCCATTTGTCAGAAGAAACTACAACTCAAACTCAGTATCCTAAATCCTTTTTATTCCCACCCCTGTTTCTTTAACAAAAGAAGAGAAAACAGGTAGAAAAAGACTGAACAAATTTTTAAAAGTTTGTGGAAACCCCCACTCCCTGACAAGCTGTCAGCAGAACAATGCCAAACTTCTGGGCTCATCTGAGGGACCTGCAGAGACTCAGACTTCATCACAATTAAACTAAAAATGCGTGTGTGTCAGAAAGACTAGCTTAGCAACAAATTAAAAACCTTGGCAGGTGGAGATCTCTTGTGAGTGTGTCAATACTTTATTTCGGTGTAAAGATGGGAAGCTGGAAAATACACTGTATTTAAATTTTCTTGGTTCCCCCTCATGTTGTGGAAACTTCCTCCCCCCCACCCAGACCTAATCTGTTCAAATGCAAATACTTAAAAATTACAGCAGCAAAACAAAAGCAAGGGGGCAAAAAAACGAGATGGAGAAGGTAGCCTGGGCCAGTAGTGTCACTTGGTGTGGACGACTGAGGTGCTGAATAGGAGCTTCTGTTTCTGTTTTTTTCTCTTCTTCCCTCCTTTCTCTCCTAAAAGGAAACACAGCTTAGCTTAGAATGGCACCCTCCCCATGCTCCCAGCCATCATCACTGGCAATGAGAATGGTGGCGAAGGGCGCAGACTCCTTAGATCTTCGTACCAGTCCCAGGAGAGACAAGGAACCACGATGGCACAGGGATTAAGTGTTCAACTGCTAACCAAAGGTCAACAGTTTGAACCCACCACCTGCTGTACAAGAGTAGCAGTCTATGTCCATAAAGATTACAGCTTTGGAAATGCTGTGACAAGTCTGTGTTCTACACAGAATTGCTGTCAATCGGAATCCACCCAATGGCTAGGGTAGTTTAATTAGGTGTTTGTCTTTTTACAAGTCAAGCCACCTCCCCGCTTCTCAACATTTTTCACCCACAATGTGACAACACATTTGTTGGGAGAATAAAATAATCACAGTACTAGGCACACAGAAAACACATGATAAAGATTAACTTTTATCTCATCTAATTATAATACCACAGAGGGTAGGGGTGGGCTCTGAGCCTGACTTTTTAATATATTAGACACCCTTTACCAGTTGGGGATTATATAATGGAGGCTAGGTCTTCTAAGCCATTTTGTCTCAGAAGGAGGAGAGGAAAGAGCGCTCTGAATTTCACATCCAGGCATCAAGAATTCACTGGGTGGCAAAAAGAAAATAATGTGAGCTGACCCTAGACTGCTAAGGACCAAGGTAAAGTGCTGGACTGGTCAGTGACTGAGTCACTGGCTCCCCATGAGAATGGGATTCCCTATGTGGCCTGTCTTGACAACCTGGGCAGAGTGTCCCCGTTCTCAGCCCTTACCAGAGAGGGGATCTGCAGTAGCCGGGGTGTCCAGTTTCAGGAAGGCAGCTTCAATAGCTTGACTGAAGGAATTCTGGAAACTGGGCACAGGGACCCGGTCTGAGTTATCGCTCTCCCCATCACTGTCCACAGTGGCAGGAGGAACTAAGCTGTTCTCATCTTGAAAATAAATCAACCAATGTTTTAACTCTCAAAACCGCTCAAAAGCCAACTGAAAAGCCGCCAAACTCTCCCTTCATCAGAGGGCCATCCTCACCTTTCTTTGGAGTTTTGGGCCACACATCTGCTTTTGCTTTTCCAACCCGTAGCATCTACCAAAGGGCGAGAAAAAAGTGTGTTAGCTTCTTTTCCAGACTTGGCACTTACTGGTCAGGGGGCCCAGAACCAATTATCACCTTTGAAAGGCTCCTCAGGCAATTTTCTCTTTAACATATTGTCCTGTCCTCTTTGCCCTGACCAATGAAATGACAGACCCATCATGGTAAACCTATTTTGTTCCTTAGGAGTAAGATGGGAAAACGACCACAGCATAAAACTGTGGGTCTTTGGGACTGTGGGTCCAAATCCTACACGATCAGACTAGGCCATAGGGTGCTGTCCTGCTGGGCAAAGGCCAGCAGCGACTCCTTGGGAGAGACAGGCACTTGCCTCCTGTTAGGATTTACAGCCCTGGGAACCTGGAGGATGGTTGTGAGTCAGCGCTGACTCAATGGCACCGAATTAAGTCTAAGTCATCTTATCCCTAAGAGGCTTTTAAAAAGAGCTGGCCTGAATGTCTCAAAAATGTTCATGCTACAGAAAGAGGGGTTTTAAAAAAGGCAAGAGGAACTATTATGTGGACAAAAGTTTATGGACAAAAGTTTAAAGATATGTGACAACTAAATTCAATGAGTGATCTGATCAGATAATTATGAAGGACAGCAAGTGAAACGGAACACTATGAGGTATTACATCAGATGAATTTCTTGGGTGTGGTAATATTGTGGTTACAGAAGTCATTTTTAGGCATGTGCTTTTATGAATTTAGGGGTGAAATATCATTCACAAGGGCTCAAAAAAGGCCAGGGTTGGAAGGGATTGGGAAGAAATCAAATACAGTTGTGCCTGCACAACACTGACGTGCCTGGGCTCACTTGTCTGCAGATGTTTTTCCCTGTTGCTGTTGTGGTCAAGTCAAGTGGTGCTATCCATCTTTGTGCAGAAATCCTGAACTGCAGGAAGAGGTGAACTGTAAACAATGTGTTCAGCAGCATATGGCATTTTAAACGAGCGCTCCCAACACCTGTGCTCGCTGTAGTAGCAAGAAGTGGAGGGGGGAAGCCACACATAAGCAGTTCACACCTGTCTTGTTCAAGGGTTAACATTGATCATCCTCGGAATTTAAAACTACATGAGCAGCCAGCACTCCTCATCTCTTAAACTGTTCCAGGTTCAACTGTGTGACAAATTGTCAGTTAACTGGTGAATCCAGGTGAAATACAAGTATGTATATTATACTATCTTTCACCTCTGCTGAGTTTACTGTTTTGTAAGTTAGGCTAAAAATAAAATTTGCTTCTTCCTTCTCTGACTTATTTCTGCCTGGCACAACTTTAGATCCCACAGGTTTTATTGTATTTCATTTCCCAACTCCAGGACACTCCTCACTAAAGGAGTTCCTGCTTGTCTCACAGCAAAAACAGACATGTCTATGTGAGAAGCATTAACATCAACTGCTCTATACAGATGTCAAGTTTAGGATTCACAAAAAGGCTCCTGAATGCTGTCTGCCCAGCTTCAACTACCTGATTACCTCGTATCCTCCCCAGGACCCTCCCCAAGAGAATGAGCTTGACTAGTTACAGAATAACTAGGAAAATCTTTCCTTTCCCAGAGGGAACAGGAGTGGTTTATTACATATAAATAATGTATATAAATACTATCTGAAGCTGGGGCCCTAGGACAATTTAAAATTATTTTATCCCCTAGTCTCTACAGACAGTGCCCAGCTCACCTACGTCCAACTGATTTGTTACACAAGTAAAAATCGGATTCACCCTCAGCTACTCCTGGCCTCTTTCCGGCTAAGTCTAGGGCCATCTAGAGACCAAAACCATAAACTACCCTTTTAGAACTTGTGGCCTCCCATGGTCAGTGCAATATTAGTCTGCAAATCTCTCATCAGAAGGGATGTCCACAAACATCATTAGCTCTCAGCCAGCGCTCTGCTAACTTAAACATGACTGCAGAGAGCCTCCCTCGGACCCATCAGATGATTCAGTTCACTAGCTTTAACAGAATGAGAAGCAACCAACTCTGGATGAGGTTCCAGAAAGAACAGGCAATGGAGTTTATGTTAAATCCCCCTGGGCTGCTTCAGAAGCAAAAGATTTACCTGTGCAAAGGAAGGGAATGGAGAGTCTTCTTCCGGACTCCCAACGCAGAAGGAGGGACTGCCCTGACTGGCAGTGGGTGACAGAGGGGTCAGGAGAAAGTCTGAAAGGGAACCAGAGACCTGATTATGAGTCAAGTTCTAAATAACTAGTGTCCTCTTCACCAAAGAGATGAACACATCAAGTCAACTACCAACCTCCCAAAAAAGTAAACTTGATCCACCCTTCACTCGGACATTTTATAATGCCAATAACATGGCCTATGGACAATTACATAAAGCTGCAGGCTCCTTCAAACATTCATTCTGGACTCTACAGCTTTAGGGCTGTAAAACTAGGTGTCATGGTGGAATCTTATGCACAAAACTCTGAGAACTTGAGCTGGTTCTCAAGGTCAAGGTATTCTGTCACAGACTGACATTAGATGGTTGGAAAAGCTGCAGGGAGAAGACAGAACATTAAATCAGGTCCTCTTTATACTCCCTAGCAGACATTTAAGACTGAGGAGTAGAGAATTAGAATCAAACATATCTAGCAGCAGGGAGACGTTAACTTCCTCCTTAGGCACTGGAAGGCTAGGAGAGAGTCCTCTCTGTTCTTTCTGACCTAGAGTTGAGCACTTTCACACATCGGTTCATCCTTCATCCTGACAGCAGGTTCCTTCAGTCTAGAATGTTTATTCTTAGAATCATCTAACTTATCTTGCCTAAATGTATTAAAGTCCATGCCTAGAATTTTTTAAAAAAAGTTAGTATGTGAAAATGATCTTTACTGCCCAGAAAATGCATCTGATGATTGACCATATTTTCTTCTCAGTTAACTAGAAAAGCATTGTGATCTGCAGTCCCAGGTTCTAGTACCAATTCCTAAAACCTTGCCTTAGCCTTAGATTCCTAATCTGGATAGCAACAGACATGTAATAAGAGTAAAAGACATCTAAACCACCTAGAGTTTTAAATATTCTGGCCTTGGATGCTTTGTGAAAAAAGCCAGTCAAAAATCTTAAGTATCCAGTTCAAATGCACCAGATGCTCTGCTAGAGAAGGAGGGGCTATCTCCTTCTGCACCAGTCAGATCCGATGGTACAGACACAAAAATAGTAATTTTTTAAAAATTTTAAGTATCCAAAAATAACTCCTAGGTCAATAAAGACCAAGTATTCTACAATAGTCAATAATTCTTCAAGTGTTTAATTTCTTAATACATTAACACAATCCTGCTCTTTAAAACCAGTACACAGGAGACTCAAAACCCCTTTGAATCCTGACCTCCATGCACTTCCAAATGGAACCTGGTTACCAATTCGAAATATGCCTCTCCCAGTATCTTGTACACTTTAGAAGCATGGACCCATTTAATTTTTTTGGACCCATTTAAAAGTGCTTTGTTTTGTGTCTTATATTTTAAAATACCACAAATGATATTAGGGGGTTTTTTTGGTGGTGGTTTTGCACGTGTGTGTGTACCGTAAAATCAGATCTGACTGGTACAGAGATGTCCCTCCTCCTCTAGCAGTGCATCTGGTGGATTCAAACTGCACACCTCTGAGACTGCAGTGCAGCTTCTTGCCACTAGGTCACCAGAGCTCACCGTTTTGTGTCTTATTGTATAACTTCATCTTTTAAGTATTTAAATCGGGCATTATTACTTTATCAGATAGCGTTACAAGAGCTATTTCATTTTCTAATGGGTATGATGTATTTCATAATACATGTGTATACATACACACACATATTTTAATCTAACCATTTACCTACTAGCAGGTTTTGTAGGCTATTTCCATTTTTTGTTTATGATAAATGATAGTGTAACTGGAAATATACAAAGATGCTCAAGCATATGGAGAATTATGTCAAAGGTAGAAAAACTAGAAATAAAACTCCCGTGCCACAAGGAAAAAATCTACCTTACGATATAGGTTTAATCATCCTTAAATTTTGGAAGCCAGCAGAGCAATAAAGCAGCCAGTGGCAGAGATGAATCAACTGGCAAGATTGTGATGGACCTCAAAAATAGAACATCTACCCAAATGAAAAGTTATTCATTTAAAGACAGCAACAGGCCCAGGGTTGGAAATTCATACTAACACTTTGCTAGTCTGAGGCGTAACTTCATTTTTCAAATCGCAGCTCTTATCACTTACCTGCCTGGGCCCCAGGACTTCTGCTGAAAGAAGGGGAGACGGACCCATGACCCTCAGCGCTGGTAGGACCCAGAGCAGATTCAGAGGAACCAGTATAGGAATTAAAGGCAGGAAACTGCTGTAGATTCTCTAGGGGAATGTGGACCTCTGGATCTGCAAAAGAAACACAGGGCAGGGGTCCATTTACCAATCTCCTCAGGCCCTTTTCAGACAACTGAGGACAGTTAATATGTTCACGCCCATGGGCCTGAAGATGCAAATAGAAGCATAAATGTGATACTATAAGGTCTCTGTTTAAACAGAAAAACCTTGTTACGAGTATTCATAATTGAAACTGAGTAATAAAAATGAGGATTAACTGTACTGTTCCCTCTGCTTGGGTTTAAAAAGTTCCATAATAAAAAAGGTAAAAACAAAACAGAATCTTGTTCCTGACAAATCAGCTTTCTCAATCAGGACATTGCCAAACAGCTTCAGAGTACTAAGTCACAGGGGATGTATTTCCTCCAGTCTGAGAAGTACAATTTCATAATGGTTTTAAATAAGAATTACACTGCAACCAATGTCTTAAAACAAAATGTGTACACATTACTGAAAGGAAAATTAACTTGTCCCATACAGTTTAACCTAAACCACAAGTCTAAAAAAAGTGGAGGGGGGGGCATTATCTTTATCATATGGAGTTACAAGAATTAACTCATCTCCCTGGCCAAAGATTAAATATACAAGCAACATGCCTATTTTCTGATGGCTAACCAAGCCCTCATGTCTCATGTATTCCCTAGGTTCACTGAAGCGTTCATGTGAGCACCAGATGAAGATTTTATGCTAACTGATACAAAATAGCTCTTAAATCTAACTCCCTGCAAAAAATTCTTTGTCAAGGTTTCTATCATTAATTTACACTCCACATCAAGGTTGGATTTAATCTTAACTCTTAATTATATGCTATGCACCTGATCTGTACGAATTTATTTAATTCAAACAACAAATCCAGGAAAGAACTCTCATGATTAATATGTGGGAGCCAAGCTAAGTGGAAAGCTGAGATGTGAGTCCAAGCAGTTTGGCTCCTGGTCCTGGACAGTGATCCCGTGCTAGCGGAAGGTGGATGTCTGTGAACTTACACCTGCCCTGTTTCTTGTTCTCCTCCATTTCAATCCTGCGTTCCCGGCGGCGTTCCTCCCGAGCCTTCTTCTGGCGCTGACGCTTTCTCTTCTCGATGTCATCTGTGGGTTGGTCAAGTGGTGAGGAGACAGATCCAAGACAATCTGAGCATTAACTACTTCCAATCAATGCATAGCTGAGCCCACAACCAGTGAACTCGGCTGGATGGATGGCTGGAAGGCTGGAAATGTGTCAGGAAGTTCTCAAACTAAAGACATGGCATCTAAGTTTCCTCTTCTATTGGTTTCTAGCCACAAGCACCCCGAACTCTCAAAAGAAGGGCATTCCCACTTACCTGAGAACATCTCTAAAGTTTCCTTAGAGACCAGGGGAGGCTGTAGGGCCAGTTCACAAATGCTGAACTCACAGGTGAGCGGCAAGTGAGAGAGGTATCTATGACGCTGCCGAACATCCTAGTGTGAACAGGAACCAACACGACAATGAGGCCTTGACTCTGAGAGCAGTGGTTTCCATCCCAGATATCCAACAGTACGGGGCTCAAACGGTGCAACTCACTCCATTACCATTTTGAAAAGACAGAAATTGTTCAACAAACTACAAGAGGACATAACAAGTCATGGAAAGCAGATTTTTGGTTTGTGCTGCAAACTCATGAACTGAGCATGGTAACAAATGAGCAAACTGTTTCTGGTTTGGGGGGCTTGAGTAGAACAAGAAATATAAGCATAAGTATTACCAAAATACACAAGACTACGGTATTAATGATAAACAGAAAGAAAGATACAGTCAACATTTTTACCCAATTGGCTTAAAACAGTAAAAAGCCCGCCCATCAATTTTAAGTTTTTCTCTGCATGTTTTGATGGAGAATGTATACTACTCAAAGAACTTCTAATTTTGAAACTTATTAACAAATTTGTGATCTGTACAGGGACAATTCCCAAGGCTAAAATTTATGTATGTCAATTCCAGGCAACACCCTAGTACTTGCTGGGTCAAGCCTGTATCACTTAGCTTAAAGTTTCCTAATGATAGAGACCGGCAGTTCACCCGCCCATCCCATTTCTCCCAAGCAAGGAAACAGAAACGCACTGAATCTTGAATGAAACGATGAGCCATTTATATTCCCAAATTACAACATATGAACATGAGAAGTAGGTAGTAACTGACTCAACATACCCCAGGGGAGTCCCCCGGCATGGTACAGAAACATCATTTATCTCTTTAAAAAAGTCATAACATAGTGGAGTGTACTTGGAGGGGAGGGGGTGCGCGTGTGGGCAGACTGTATATAAAAGAATTTTACATGTCAGAGAGAGGAGTAAACTGGGGGGAGGGGAGGGCAGGGAGGAAAGTACAACAATGAATGAATGAATGGAAATCCAAAATCTCTGTGAATGTTCATTAAAATTAATAAAAAAAAGTTGTTTTTTTTTTAAAAAAGTCATAAACATCATCTAGTTTTAGAAAAAAAATACACTTAAAAATAAAATGGACGTTAAAAATAAAGCCTGCAGATCTGTGTAGTAAGGCTGGCTTGGCCTCCCAGGTTTAGTCGAGTGCTGTGTCCACCCTTGCTCCTGAAGGCAGGCATTACCTCAGACACGGAGTAGCCAGCGATTTCCACCACGGTTGCCGAGATCTTCTCAGGGCTCTGCTCCAGGCTGCCGTACTCCCTCACAAGACAGCGCACATTCACAGGGTGCAGAAACATATGCTGCCCATCCTCCGCTGAAGAAAAATGGTTCTGTGACACACTAGTCTCAGCTACCATTTAGGACCGGCCCCTCCTCAAGACCAGGCCTGCCTTTCCCACTTTATTCTAAGACGCACAACTTTTTCAGTCCCCAGCTTCTACAGGAGCTATCACTTGTTGAGTCACATCATCTCTCTAAGGCATCTCCATGGTAACCCAGCCCACCTACCTGGGAACCCTCACCTTGATAAAAGTAGTAACAAGGAGCACTGCTTAGATGTGCAATGCCTGGCTTGGCGACGGCTTCCTGCTGGCTGGACTCAGTACAAATGGTCCCTTCTCCAAGATTGTCAGCTGCTAACTCTGCATCATCAGAGGCCTCGGGAAGCCTCTCAGGCTCCAGTTCAGATGCTGCTTCCTCTTCCTCTACCTCCACCAGAGGGAGGGCAAGAGGACGAGACGAGTCCAGAGGACAAATCTCCATGGTTTCTTCATCAAGAGCAGACAGGTACTCTAGCACGCCCTGTCGGAACAAACTGTAGGTCAACAGAAATTCCATGTCCTGCATTCAGGAAGCAATGTGACAAAGGCAGGCACAGGAACCAAGCTTTAAGGATGTTTATCTTAACTGTCTCAGTCACTGACTTTACATTCCCTGGGAGAAGAACTAGACAAAAAAATACTAAACAAAATTCAAGTTTCTCAACAGGGCCAACCACTAAAGGTCATCTGAGAAAAGGCAATGTTTAGACTTTATCAGGGGCACACTAACCTTCCTTGGTTGGAAAGAGGGCTCTTTCACCAAGGGAGTCATCAGCACCACTTGTTCCAGGGCAGCCACGACACCACTGACTTCTCCTCTGCCTTCAGCCAGCCCAGACAGAGCCTCCTCCCGAGCCTAAGGTCACCAGAGAGAAGATCAAAAAACTAGGTTTCCAGAAAGAGGGGCAGAGGCTTAAAAAGGCCACTCTCAACAAGAGTAAAAATTCAAAGGTAACAAGACTCAAAAGCAACAGTTTTAGTCCTGAAAATCTTCACTCTTTGAGGGCAACAGTCAGCATAATGCCAGTTTGACTCCTGATAAAAGCTTCTGGTGTCCAGAAAGGATTATATTCTGTCAGCATCTTTGACAATGACAATACTACAAAAAAGCTTCCTGATGTCCAAGAACATTTAATTTATATTTTATAAACTATGCTCAGAAAGCATCTCAGAGTAGGAAGCAAGGGTCTGGCCAACTCCCACCACAAAATGGGCAAATCTATTCCTGTATAACTTTTATCCTAACAAATACCTCTGCCGAGTAGCAGGAAGGTTAAAATGAAATACGCAGGGCCCTGCCCAAGGAGGATTTAGGTATCAGAGAGAGAGGAATGCAGACATCAGCTTCACCCCATAAACCACCGGCTGATTCATTTCCTAATCCATAAATGGGATATACATACATCATAATGGAATATAAAACTTAAATCAATTTAAGTACAGTGCTTAACAGAGGGCCTGCCACATTTTAATCACACATTAAAGACTTTTGTTGCTTTAATCAAGATTAGTGGTTCTAATCGAGATTAAACCAACAAAATCAGAAAGCAGCATCAGAATGTTCTGGAACCTGTTACAAGGTAAATTACTGCGTATCCTTAGCTCACACCTACAGAATTCCTCTCTCAGGTCAGAGTGTGTAAATTGTGACTCAAATACTGTTAAAATCTAAGAATCCCTAGTGTCGAAAATCCAGGACCTAAGGAATTCCACATTCAGAGAATTCTATATTCAGCTTATTTTCTTACTGTTCCAAGATCCTCAGCAGTTACTGTTAGAACCAGAAAGTGCTGGGCTCGCTATAATAGTCTAGTATTTTCTCCATAATCTTTCTCAAATAAAAAAAAATCTCTAAAGAAATCCAAGTGGTTTCCTAGAAAACAAAAAACCCATCTTACTTAATACAGTTAAGCTAAGAAACTCTAGTGCTGCATTCAGTTATGAAAGTACTAATTCTGACTTGTTACTTTCCTTACTGATCGCCAGTCAATCCTCCTCTCCCACCAAACTAAGTCTAGAGTACACTAGCCACTCTCTCCTATATTCCCTGCCATTATCTTAAATGTGAGGTGAAGTAACTTACGCCCACCCATGTGCTCGCACCATGGCGCACTGGGGAGGCTGAGCAGCTCTGAGTTCCTGGGCATCACCTCACCTTGAGCTCTTGAATCGCAGCCTCGATGAAGCATGACTCAGGAGAGTGCTGTTCCTCTGCCAGTTGCTGCTCTAGAGCCACTTTCTCCTCCAGAACCACCCGGTGCAGCACCTGCTCCTTAGAGGCCAGAAGCAGCTTGGAGTACTGGCTGTGCTGCTCATCTAGGAAGAAAGCCAGCAACACTCAAACCCTGCCACACTCAAAGCTCAAGAGCATGCGGCTAACCAAAAACCTGCATGTCAGCTTTTTCTCTAAGGATGAAAACAAAGCAAGTCAGATTTCCTAAAACATAATTTAACACTGACCTTAACTAAAATTTTTAGCAAACAGTCAGTCCACCCCAAGAAGATCAGAAATACAGTAAAAAAACTTAGCCAAATAATGTTCATTAATTATAGTATTGCCTATGGTCTCAAAATCTGAAACCAGCCAGTTAACCCAACAATAAAAGAATGGTAATGCTTAATTACATGATGATATGCTCATTAGACAGAATTTTAGAGCAGCCACTGAAAAGGGTGCATTTAGCAACAGGGAATCTCTAAGACTGGGCACAGTGCCAGACACTAACAAAACCTCATCAAATGAAAACCGGAGGCATGTATTCAACTGAGCCCATCTAGAAACCAAAAGTCATACCATGCTCTGCAAACTCCATCCTAACAAAGCAGAAGCCAAAGGTCAATCTAAAAATGTAAGAACTGACTTGTCCAAAGGTTAAATTTCTATCACTAGGAAGAGATCTTCAAAAACCCTGGAGGGCTTACCTAGGATGAGTTAGCCGGAAAGTTAATGGTGCTTACCTCCTAGGTGAATGGGATGATCTACATTCATCCACTTGGACTTGGGCAAGGCCACCAACACACCTTTCTCTCTCTTCATCAGCTGCATCGTGATCGTATCACCAACAACATACTGACGTGACTCTGTGGCAACGACACTGGAGCGTGGACATTTAAGACAAAGACCGGCTAAGAATTAGACTGATACCTGACAATCTAGTCAATGCCTCTCTCTCACCTCTTCAGATCCTTCTTATGCACAGAACTATAACAGATGGGACATTTACTCCAGGTCTTCTCACTCAGCGAAAGGTAGTGCAGGATGCATGCCCAGCAGAAGATGTGCCCACAGCGGGTGATCTTGGCTGCAGTAGGTGGATATAGGCATATCGGGCAAGATGGCACTTCGTGGCTACAGATGCGCTGGAGCAAAACATGGCCACAAGTTGCACTGTATTTAGAACTGACTGCATCATCAAAGCCAAAAACCTCTTTCCCCCTATTCCTCCCTTTCCCTGTATATTTCTACTCAACAACATATTTTGATAATATTGCTCAATAATGCCACTACACATAAAAAGATACTCTAAGGAAATCACAGCATTGTTTTAATACAGTACAACAATTTCCTAGTAAGTATTTTGAGGGATCTTTACCAAGGGAAAGGAGCCTAGTGTCCCAGAGGTTAAACCAGTAGGGCAGTGGTTTGAACCTACTAATGGATCCACAGGAGAAAAGTTTGCTCTGATTAAGATTTACAGCCTTGGAAATCACAGGCTTCTTAGAAATATAGTTACTTTCTGTCCTGTGGGATCACTAACTGCAAATCAACTCAAAGGTTGATTCTTTTTGTCTTATAGCAAGTGGAAGGGGGAGTATCTTTAAAATGACCCTATTTACACACCAAGATTTAATATGCACATATACATAAATGTGTAAAAAAAAGTCTCGAAGTTAACTTACCAGTACTTCCGTGAAACAGGAAAGACTTTCATGTACCAATTAAACCATTGCCTGACATTTCATGTTTAAAACAGTAAAAAATGGAACTGAAGTGTACATTAATGATGTATTTCTGGCAGTTGGGAATGCTGAGATGTGAAGCAAGAGCAATGTAGCTGTGATGTTAGAGTCTAGACTTGAGTGAATTTGGCTGGGCCATGATTCTCAGGGGCCTGGCAGCTAGTTATATGATGCTGAAATAGGACATCATTCATCCTCTATTTTGTGGTTGTCCTCCCTTTCTGCATGTCAATGTGGCTTTTGCAATCCACCCATAGTTGGTAAACAAAGAGTAGGTACATGCAATTCTGTATTTTATATATAACCAATGCATAGGAAACTTAAATTTTAAGGGAACAAAAGTTCAGCAAGCACACACACACAAATGTTGGTCTTTAAACATTAATCCTAGATTATTCTGTATTAGCAGAGTCATAAAGATCCAAGCTTTGGGGCTAAAGAAGAACAAAGCCTGTTTCCCAATCACCTGTCATACTACAGGAGTTCAACATCAGATACACTGTTAGCAAATAGATACTTAGTCATTAACTTCAATTAAAAGAAGTAGCTTTGAGACAAGTTTAGCAATGGTGCTTATTCACCTTCTACAAGGTTGGCCCATTTATTATTATTTCAAATGGCTGCCAATGAAGGAGTGCCCCACAGAATACCTCATCCTGGCTGAGGAGGGTAACCAGTAAGCCCTCACAGACTCCACTGGTTACCATTTCCCAGCAGAGAGGAACAGTGGACATTCTGCACAGACACCTTCCGATCGGAGCTTTCCAAAACCCTGTACTTCGGGCCAATGCCTATTAGTCACAAAATGAACCCCAGGGGAAACCATGGACTGAACTCTGGGACAGTGTCTACCACAAGGTTACAGAGGAAGAAAGGGCATCGTGGTGAGCAGTCAACACCTGCTGTAATGGACTAAATGAACTAAAGCCCACTGCTTTAGTTCTTTCCTACTAAGAACGCATAAGCCTACTTGGGCTACTCACCACTTGTTCCACAAAGTCCCAGTTGACTAAGGTATCAGGATCAGCAAAGTGAGCTGTGTAGTCTTGGTTTTCAGACACCACAAATTGGCAGCTGGAAATAGAGGAGATAATAGGAAAAGGAGGCTGTGAGACTGCACCAAGTCCTCAACAGAAGAGTCCTCATTGTGTCACTGAGCAACCACACGCAGGTCATAGGCAGCCATGGCTAGAGAAGCACTGTACTAGGTCTTCAGCCTCAGAGCCGAATTCCGGCTCTGGAGAGAATCCAAAGGTTTAGTGGGAAGGGGTCTAACTCCACGAATGTGGTTTCTTCTGCTTCTAATCCCAGCCAAGTTCCTTGCAGGCCTCCCTGAAACTAAAATTAACCCAGACCATGACTCCAGTAAGGAGTGGGAAGCAGATTTCCACACTGATTTCTAGCAATCCAGCTGGTTTTCAAGGCAGAAGACCTCTTCTTGTTCAATCACTTAAGAGTCCGTTTATAAAATGACTACTTCAATCTAGATACAAGATCAAATCATACATTATCAATAATTCTACAAAATGAAACAAAAGAGATGTATCATTTGCTCACATGTATGCCAATGCACTTCAATTTACTGTCACTGAATCTTCCCTCAAATCGTTTCCTCATCGTCATAGATGAGAAGCTGAATCTCGAAGTGGTCAGTTAGGTCAAAGGCGAAAACAAGATGCAAATCTGGGTCTAATTCAAGCAATGTTTTCCATCTCATTATGGGGGCAAAGGCATTTACTTAGCACCATAGTCTTTTAAACACCAAAAACGTACATGCACAAAGATTTCACCACTTGTCCCCCACCCTCCCGAAGAAAGGAGATCAACTCCCACAGCAATTTAACAGAGTCTCTTCACAGATGACAGCTGCCCAGAGAAGCCCCAGCAAAGTCTCACTTTGCTCCTAAGAGAAGCTATACTCACTTGGCCTGTAAAAAGAGTTCCTTGTTAAAAGGCTTATGTCCCCACTTGTTCCTTTTTCCCCAGCTGCCATGTCCATTGCCTTCAAAGTGGCCTGCCTGGCCTCGGGGCTCAAAAGTAAAATTCAACAAGTGGTTCAGGTTGATCTTCTTGGGACCAGATAATTGGGCAGGGCTAAACTCTGCCCGCTGAGCCTCTGCTACCTAGAAAAGATGAGACTGAGTCAGTACTTAGAATGGAATGACACTTCAATTTACAACAGACACTGACATAACTCCTCCTTAGACAGCTTAAAATAGAAGCTATACAGGCCTAAATTACACAGTTCTCCTGGAAGGGGTAGGTAATGTGAAAGCCTATCCAAGGCTTGGATGAGAGCAGAGAGGAGGGAAAAGAGCCTTCAGCACAATTACTTATGTTTAGTCTGCCCTGCTCAACAGCAATTTAACTATTAAGAAACAAACCCTGGTTGCATGAACTCTTCCAGCTATCCTGAAGCAGAAAAATTACTTGTTATTGTCAGCTGCTGTCACTTCTGACTCATAGTGACGGACAACTGAATGAAATGTTCTAGGTCCTGCACTTCCTCACGATCAATGGTATGCTCAAGTTCGCTGTTATCACCACAGTGGATTTTGAGAGTACCTTCCAACCTAGGGGGAGTTTATCTTCCAATACCCTACCAGATAATATTCCATTGGGATTCATACAGTCTTCACTGATTAATTTTCAGTAACAGATTTTCTTACTCTGTCCTATTCCAGAATTTCTACTGAAATCCATATACCATGGGTGACTCTGCTGGTATAGTTCAGAAACTGATAGAAGTATGCAGCATCATAACAACATGTGAACTACCACAATATGACAAACTAAAAGACAGATGGAGGAAAGATTTGTCTATTAATTTTTCAACAAACCAAAAGATTCACCTATTAGATGACTTTTTCACTTTAGTTAGCTGCTTGTTCAATGATTTGCTTCTGGCAGTCTGTGGCAACTGCTAATTGCAACAGGCTGGCTTAAGGATCCTACCAGAGATGTCCTTGAAGACATACATGCACTGTTATTGTTAATGAAAACTGATAGAATTAGAACACGTATGCAGACAAGTTCCGTCCAGAAATAAACCAGTGGATTCAGAAACACTCTGGCAAGTGACAAGAAATATAAGAAACACCATTGGACACAAAAATGGAAGACAAATCATTTCAGGACCTGAGTATTTCAATCCTCTTAACATTTCAAGTTGAAGTGGTATGAAACATGTTCATTTTTTTACCTTTCCCCCCCATTTAATATTATAGGCAACTGACCACGTTAATGTTAGTCTACAGTCACGTTCAGCAGCTATATACCAATATTATTACCTGGGTATGCTATCTTATGACAGGGGGCCATTTTTATCTTCTAATAAAATAATACTGTAGTAAGCACTCTTTTAAATATATCCTGGTGCACATATTTGGGCATCTACAATCATTGCTTTTGAAGGTACAGGAAGAATTATTGGGGCAAAGGAAATGCACTTTTACAAATTTTGTTGCTTAGTCAAATTTGGAGATTTTCAGTTAAGTCAGAGCACCTGCATGTACATGATAAATAATCTAATGATCAAAATGGAACATGGTGGAAAAATATCTCCTAACTATAGAGTCAGCTGTATACTTTGAGATAGTTTATGCATAAAAAAAAAATCACAGTTGTTGCTATTACGTGCCACTGAGTTGCCTGCAACTCACAGTGACCCTATGTACAACGGCCCTAAATCCTGCTCTATTCTGTGCCAGTCTGTGTCTGACACACCTCCCCCCATTACTCCAGTCACAGTGTGTATCCCTTAAAGATAAATGCAAACCATGGCAAACTAAACTGTTACACATCCTACATTTGATCTTAATAGACTGTCAAGATAATTGTACTAGATCATATATTGTTTATAGAATATCAAGAAGCTGGAGATCTCCAGGTTCTATCCTAGGTTCCCCTTGACTCCCCTCTACATAAGTGTCTGTAAACCCCCCACCAGACAACCCTTCACCCCTAAAACTTAGAAAATAACTTGTGCTCGGTCAGCAAAATCCTCCCCAGTTCCAATCTTGTCTTTATCTGGGGAGCTCTGGTAGCAGAGTCCAGAGAGCTGAGCTGTTAGCCCAAAGCAGTGCTTGCCTGGCAGCTTAAATTCGCTAAAGGATCCACAGCAAAAAAATGGGCAATCTTCTCCACTGCAATTTACAGCCTCTCAAAAACCTGCACATGGATCAGCTCTGCCCCGCAGTTCTAACTGGATGATTGTGAGTCTGAGTGAATCTTCACTAACTTAGCAAGTCCAGTGCAACCCTTTAACCATACTTCCTATCCATCCATGACCTTGGCCTCTCACTCCTTAACTCTGCCTTCTAATACAGCAATCATTGGCCTGATGCAGCTAACACACACCTGAAATGTGGTCAGCATCACATACGAGAGAGTGTGTTTTAAATATAGAATTAAACACATTACAGTTAATGCCACTCATTTCTTTTTTAAAGTGGCTACTAGATCATTTTCAATTACACACAGGGATTACATGTCTTCACTCTAGAATGCACCGCTCTTAAACAGTTTAATTCTGAGCATCTCACTTTTCAACTTCTTCCAGTTTGTTCCCTTTATTCCCAAGTCCAGCAATCCTCCACTCCCACCAGGATCTTCAAAACTCATTTTCAGTCCCCTGGACTCTCATCTTTCCTTATCTGGCTTAGATCCCATGGCCTATTGTTCCTCTTTTCTTCTCCATTGTACTCAACAAAATCCTCCCGATTATGCCAACTCTATTCCACACCAGTAACAGAGCCCAGGAACATAAAGAGTACACCCTATCAACCACTCTCACCAAAGTGGATGCTTCAGCTACCTAGCATTCATTCTGCAATTTCCCCATTTATTGCCCTTTTTCAAGATAGTATCATTCCTTTTTATTCTTTAGCATTCCAAACCTCCTCATTCACCCCATATAATAAGATGGCTGGCTCGATGATTTAGGGGAATGAGTCTTGCATTGGGTGCAGTCCCTTGTTCAAGCCCTGTTTTAACGGAGCTCTGGTGGCCTAGGAAGCCATACTGCTAATCAAAAGATGGTGCCTCTCTAACAGTTCGAATCCACCAGCAGCTGAGGGAGAAAGATGGGCAATCTTGCTAGCAATTTACAGCTTCTGAACACCTACTGGAGAGTCAACTAGGAGTTGAGTCCAACTTGACAGCAATGTTTTTTAAATCCATTTATTCCCCTTTCTCAGCTAATTTCAATTTTTTTCATTCCTTAGCCTTTCAAACTTCCTCAGTTCATTTTATTTATGTCATTGAGAAAATGCAAACAATCATAAGATAACTCCTGTGTCTCCCTCCTAATACTCTGCAGTTCTTGATCATCTCCAAACCAAGCCTCCACTTCTGCACTGGATTCCAATTCCTCTTGCATGCAATGACAACACTCAGTCTTACATCAACTTTTCCCTCTGATTTGATCAATACTATTAGCAAGGACATGCTGTAATTCTTCTACTCATTAGACCTCTCCTTGCATTCCACTCAAGTGATGGCCTCAATTCTGATCCTATTCAGCACAAAGCCACTAAAATGTATGGTGTGTAGTTGCTGTTTCTTCCCACACTGCCACCTGTTTTTCAATCTATGACAATCAGGTTTTCTGTTCATTCCACCAAAATAGCTCAAGGCCCAAGATCCATCTTCACATTTTAAAGTCTCATGGTTATGCAACCACTGTGGAAAGCGAAGTGGCACTTCCTTAAAAAGTTGCAAACAGAGATACCATTTGACCCAGCAATTCCACTATTGGGAATATACCCTAAAGAGACCATAA